TATTAAAATATCAAGAATGATTGTTATTAAATTTCTTGATAAATTTTAATGATAAATTAAAATTAAAATTTATTGATATTTAATAAATTCTTTTTAATTGTGCAGGTAAACTAATTAAAAAATTCTAATATTTTTCCATGATTAAGAACTTTACAAACTCATCGCATCCTCCTTTTCCAGAGTTTTGGTTTCGAATCAATTCAAATCGGTTCAAACCAACTCCACAAAATTGAATTCAGAGTTCATCCAAAAGGTTCAAATTAATATTTCTCCATTCAAACCAAAAATTCTGAAATGAGCTATTTTGACAATTCAACAAATGGCATTTATCTTAATGAGTCATTCCCTTTCCAGACGCTTTAACAATTTACTACCTGTCAGGGAAAGTTTAAAAATGGCAGAATTTAATTAGAGTAATTTTTGAGGTGGCATTGGAGCTAAAGAGGAAGAATTAATTGCGTAGGTTCCATCACTTACCGTTACAAATTAAATTTAAATTTAAAAGATTTTAAGAAATTGATTACGGTTGTGGAATAATAATAATAATTATTTTATTTTAATTATACAATGAGAGATAATCTCTTATTTTTTATCTTATTTTATCGCATGTTATACAATTTAAATTCAAAACTTTTTATTTTCAACGAAAAAAATACTTACTAAACTCCTTAAGTTATTGACATAAAATAATTATTTTTGAATCCTTTATAATATTATTCTTATGAGCTCTCCATTTATCGTTATAAATTAAATTTAAAAGACAAAGATTGCAAGAACTGACAATGGCTGCAAAATAGTTATTTTCAAATTCTTTGTAACACTATTAGTTCTCTACCTACCATTACAAATTAAGTTCAAATTAAAAGACAAAGGTTTCAAAAAATTGACAACGGTTGTAGAATAGCTATTTTCAAATTCTCTGTAACACTATTCTTGTGAGTTCTCCACCCACCGTTACAAATTAAATTTAAATTTAAAGGAAAAATGTCTCAAAAAACTAACTAGTGTTGCAAAATAGTTATTTTCGAATTAATTGTGTAGGCTCTTCCACCTACCGTTACAAATTAAATTTAAATTTAAAGGACAAAGGTTTCAAGAAATTGACAACAGTTGTAGAATAACTATTTTAAAATTCTTTGTAGGTTAAATACCTTTTGGTCCCTTTACTATTGGAAAAAGCTCTTTTTTAGTCCCCTTACCGAAAAAATCTCTTTTTTGATCCTTAAATTTTAAAATCCATCCCCTTTTTGGTCATTCTGTTAAATTTTTGCTTATCTGGTACGTTAGTTAACAGAACCTCTTGATTATTTTTTATAT